TAAAAATAGCTCAAATGGCAGCACTTACCAGTGCTATTCTTGTTTAAATCATACTTACATGCAACTTACAAATGGCATATAAACTAGAGCCGGGACTTTAACAAGTTAATAAAGATTAATTAATTACACTCAAAAAAGCGCGTTAAAAAAATTACGCATTTTAATCGTATGTATTTTTGCACCGCGGAACGTTCCTCACTGAATACGTTTCAGACGGACCAATTGAACTGACGCACCAACCGGAGCTCCGTGACTTTTCTTGTTCAAAAGTACATTATTAAAGGTATATAGGAGGATTTTCCCAATTTTTAGGAAAGTTCCGCCTTCTCCACTTTTTGAACGAAACTCTCTGGTCTTATTGGACGAGGCCGTATCAGCAGAATGATTGACAGTTGGGAGGACCAATAGTCTTGACGATCCACCCGGAAGTAGAAAATCCTCCTATATACCTTTAAGGGGCGTTCACACCGGACTTAACTTCGGCGTCAAAAGCGTCAGGTTTCCATTGAAAGTGAATGGTGAAGCGCGTCAGGTGAAGCCGAGAGCCCCGGCGTCACTTGACGCGCGTCAAAAGCTTCAAGAGTCGCGCGTACTACGCGCTCACTTGAAGCTTTTGACGCGCGAAACGCTCGCGTATCACAACAATCCCTTTGACGCCGAAGCTGAGCAAAGCTGAGCTTTTGAAGCTTTGACGCGGGCTTCAACCAATCAGGAGACGAGGAGCAGCAGCAGCAGAGGGTCTGTCTCTGTCATGGAGAGAAGTCATATATCTGCTGCTGCTGTTTTATTGTCATTATTGTTATTAGTAATATTATTTGTATGAGTAGTAACATTCTGAGTAACAAAAATCATTGTATACATGCTGTGTAGTAAACGTAGTTTATTTAAAATAAGAACAGGCTGACGATGAGTCTGGCTCAGAGCAAGGCAGCTCCGGGCGAGCGAGAGCCGGGGAGAGGCAGGGGAGAGGCGAGCGAGAGCCGGGGAGAGGCAGGGAGAGGCGAGAGCGAGGCGGGGAGAGGCAGGGAGAGGCAGGGAGAGGCAGGGAGAGGCAGGGAGAGGCAGGGAGAGGCAGGGAGAGGCGAGCTCCGGGGTTTGAGAACTCAGACTGGGCGAGTGACATGCGGAAGTACCGCTGAAAGCGAAACTCCTCCGTACGCAGCTCCTGGAGTAAATGACGGAACTCTGCAAACACTGCAGCCTCTCAAGTCTGTGGTGAACCCAGAACATGTTTTGTTGAAGCCCTACAACAACGTTATTTTGCTTTATATAACAAATAAAGGCTCGCTGCTCATTGAAAAATCCACCGCTGTCCTGACAACAGACAACAGAGAAGCTCCTCCCACCGGCGTCAGGCGCGTCACTCGCGTCAAAAGCTTCAAGCACCAAAATGACAAAACTATCCCGGCGTCAGTTGAAGCGCGTCAAAAGCTTTTTGAAGCTTTTGGTCTGAACGCGCCTTTACAAACAGAGACCAACTTTAAATTCGAGTAAATTAGACGGGAATGAGCGCTGTGTATGGAGCGATGGACTCTGTGTGTGAGGAGGAGGAGCAGTGACTCCTGTGTGAGCGGAGGAGGAGGAGAAGGAGAAGGAGGAGCGAGACACAGGTGTGTGAGCTGCTAATGCTGATGTTTACTCCGAATGCACACATCAAAAACGTATTATAAAAGCTTTAGCAAACAGCGCATGCCCAGCTTTAGTGCTCACAGCGTGTGCAGTGGATTTTGGGCTTAAAAAGAGTATGTTGTCGTCAGTGTGAGGAGGAGGAGGAGGAGCATATGTTGTCGTCAGAGTGTGGAGGCAATGACAGAAACGTTATTTGATGTTTAGAAGTTATCCCTTAAACTCCATATTAACATGTGTTGCTTAAGCCTCATGTATTCAGTCATTATTCAATGGTAAACTAAAAATCCATGTGAAAAGTAAGTAAGTAAGTAAGTAATCTTTATTTATATACCGCCTTTTCACTGCACATCAGAGTCTCAAAGCGGTTTACAATTGTTATTTTTGGGAGTGGGGCCAGTACAGGAGGCACATGCCAGACCTATTGTACATATTTTTAGTGGTAGGGGAAACCGGAGCACCCGGAGGAAACCTACGCAGACACGGGGAGAACATGCAAACTCCACTCAGAAAGGCCCTGGTCCAACCGGGATTCGAACCCAGGACCTTCTTGCTGAGAGGCGAGAGTGCTATCCACTCAGCCACCGTGCCGCCCAAAAAAATTACTTCTCACTGTTATCAGGTCAAATATTTATATGCGATTAAAATGTGATTAATTGCGATTAAATGGGACTGTCTTAGAAGTGATCATTTGTTAAATTTGAAAAATGTGCACTTAGAGAAAATATAAAAGTTTTTCCACAAAATAAATATCATTAATTATTAGTAAAAACATAGAATTAAAGGTAAATTGAGCAAATTGGCCATATCTGGCAATGTATTTAAGTGTGTAACAAACTGGTAGCCCTTCGCATTAATCAGTACCCAAGAAGTAGCTCTTGGTTTCAAAAAGGTTGGTGACCCCTGGATTAGAGCAAAGTAGAGCAGATCTGATCTGATCTGATGGGGCTTAAGACCTGCTCTCTTAAAACCAGAGTCCAAGTAAGTTCTCTTTACTCACTTTTACCAGGTGTTAAAACTGCTGAATATAAATGAAATACAGGGAAATAGAAGTAAACTACTACTAAAATGTTATGAAGAGCAAGAATGTACATACACAGTAATACATGTACACCTCCAAAACTCAAAACCATCCAATTGATTGCTCTGGGAGAGAGACTCAGATGAGACTTCCTTAATTGTAAACAAACCTTCTGTATTTCATGTCCAGGAAAGTAAGCCAACTGTGTTCTGGCAGTGGACTGAGCCACTGTTCAGCAGAAAACAGAGCTGGGGTACCTAACTTTCAAACAATGAACCCTGCAATGAAACCCTTTCATTGCAGCTCCTTGCTATCAAAAAAGATCCTGGACTGAACCGAGGTGCTCACTGGCGAGAGATCTGCGCCGTTCTCACAGCCGCCACTGTCAGCCCAACGCCCTCTTGTATGGGCCCACCGTCAATCATGCCCAGGTGTCCTGATTCCCAGGGCCACGCAGCACTAAAAGATTAGGTGGCAACCAGCACAAGTTTAAAACATTAAAACCACATTAAAAACATGCAATGAAATATAAAAAAGAATGTTACAAAACAACATAAAAAACTTGCCTCTGGCCTTTTTAAATCTAGACATGAACACTGACCAATCAGGAGCCTTCTTTGGCTCAATTTGAAGTAGTGTGAGGGGAAACAGACAGGTGCGACTCCTTATTGGCTCTTGGTATTTTGGCCCCAAAATGTGCCTCCTCATTCACAGGCAAATAGCCTGTTCAATTTGCTAGCTAATCAGCCTCCTAAGGAAAGCGAACACTATGGTGATGTCACATTCAGTCAATATTTATTTATTTATTGTGGATGGCCCCTTGAGATGAATCATCTCTTTTTCGAGGGGGTCCGGAGTACACTCTTAGTATACAGTATGTAGTATGATATTGTCATGCAGCTTAAGCGGATATTCAGGATGGTAAACTACCTACGTCACTACACCAGGCTGAACCACTCCTTCCCCAACCTGTCATAATAAGCTTCATCAACTTCCTGCCAGCCGTGTCAATAAAGTCAGCATTTATAAACAGAGCACAGCTCATCAAACAGCCTTTCAAGCCGCAACCACCTCCTCCCCACCTCCGCCTCTAGATTTCTTGATGAAATGTTTAGAAATGTACCTTGTTTTTTTTTTTTTTCTCAAGATGTCTGCCCGCACCTTGTGCTATAGTTTGTTTGTGTTTTCTGTGTTTTGGCTGGAATGTCTCCTCTGTTCTCACACTGTTTGACCTCCACTGTGAATTGGTCAGACAACTTTCAGTAATGAGCTGCTGTGTGACTGAACAGTCGCTGTAAACATAACCCTGGAGCAAGAAACTTGTTTTTACCAAGTTGGGATCCAAGAAAAATACAAGAAATGCTTTCAAACCAAATGTCAAGTGCAGCTGGTGGAAAACAGTTAACTTTTATAACTATGTTTAAATTGGCACAGCTGAGATTGGAAACTGTGTCTCAGATAACTTGGCCCTGACCTGTGGAGTACCACAGGGTTCTATCCTGGGTCCTCTTTTGTTCAGTCTCTACATGTGGCCGTTAGACGACACTGACAGCAGAAAAAACATCAAACAATAGAGTCACTCCTTTACTGCATCCAACAGATCCAAACAGCTTTCTCCAGCTAAAGTCAGAGCTTCTGTCACCAATTTTCATGTGCATGTATTTCTGGCCTTTAATCTTTAAATCAGCATTTCCAGTGAAAAAGAGAAGATCAACCCTGACTCAGCCAATCAGCTCCCAGCCTGTAGAACAGAACATACTGTATAATTAAGATGATGACAGCATGTCGCGGTCTGATTTGTTTGCAAAATGTTCTTTTGATAAAACTGTAGATACTAGGTAAAAAATATCATTTCCCCCATAGACTGTATATAGGTGGACAATGCTAACTTACTAGCCCTTGAAGCCCAATAGAGAAATGTTCAAGGACAACGGTTTTTTCCAACTTAATCTGGCTCCAACTTCCATTGAGAAGTAAATTACTCGAGCTCAGTGACCGTTTGTGTCACTTTCACCATTTTGGGCGTAAACATCTGTGGTTAAGTGCACTCTGTGATCCTTGTGTTTTGGTGACATCACCAGTCACCACTGTTATGACGCAAAACGTAGTGTAAGCTTTGCGTAACAGTGGTGAGTCAGTCCTCTCCTAATATTCATGATCTCCTCTTTTCTGCTCCAAGATGGTGGTGGTTTACTGATTATAGTCATGTTCATGTCCATGTTTATTTATGTAGTTAATATGAAATGCCATGCGTAACTTCTCAATATCTTGTTATAGGGCCAAAATGAATTTTTTTATTTTTTTTAAACAAACAGGACATACAGGATTTCATGATGATATTTTCGCTCCTAAGGTGATCCAGACCCTGCGGGCGGCCGACAGGGACAACTTTGCCAATGGGCAGTTTTCATTTTGGATTCCCCCAGAGCTCCAAGCAAACCCCAACTTCACCGTCCGTGACAATGGAGGTAAGGCAGCAGCAGGGTGAGCACTGTCCAAACCTCTCCAATATTTGAAAAAACTTAACTTAATGAGTTTTTAACCATATTAAAACATTGTAGTCATCCATTCTAATATTAGGACTGCCTGCCACAAACCCACTTAGTTGAAAAATGTTTAAAGGGACATTAAAGCAGCATTTGGCCACATTGTCATTATTTCCCCTTGAGATTTATACACACAAAGTTGTTCATGCATATTTGAGTTATTTATATCCTCATATACTGTACATTGCTCTCCCCTTTGTCCGCTGACCACCACACCTTGCCCCTCCCCTGGGTTTTACTTTTTTGAATCTGTGAAATGTGACTCATCTGAAATGTGATCTTTTTGTTTGGATATGTGTGCACATGTCTGATACTTCATCAAAGGGGCAGGGCTGAAGGTCAGAAGGGGGACTGCAGTCATTCCTTGCTCACTTTCCTTGATATTGAAAGTGAATGTCATTTATATTTTTGCAGTGAGAGTGAAATCTTTTCAAAGATTTTGTTGCTTCAATATGGTACCATATACTAAAGAGTTATGGATACATAACCGAAGATACCTTCAAACTCTTATCGTGTTACGTAAGGGATAATGTATAAGAAAATAAACTTCAGTCCACTTTTATGAATGCCTAAAAGTTTATTTAATGACTGCAAATAAAACAGTTTTCACACTAGGTGTGGGTCAAATAAAGGATCTATTAATGGTTACGTCCGGGTTTACCGCGGTTTCAATTTGCCGCATTAAAACAGAATTTTGGAATGAATACGTTAACAGAAAATTATGAAAACCTCTGTGGATGTGTATTAAGAATGTATATGTATAATGTATTATCAATTTGTCAAAACGCGCCGGCTCAACTTTATATTTAAAAAACACCCCTTTCAGAGTGCCTCCTTCTCCACTTTTTTTTCATTGTAACAGTTATCCCAAGCCCACAAGTTGGATGACCACCTGTAAGTGTTTTTCACTATTTTTAATCCAGTCCAGCACTCCTGCAATCCCTTCACTCAAGAACATAAAGGTGTGGATTGTTATTTGTGTGTATTGAGCAGAGCTAGTATGGCTAGTTCCAACAGCTTCTCTCACAGAGACAGAAGTACATAACGCTAGCGTCGTTGATGAAGTGGCTGGACTCTTTGCGGAGGATTCTTTACACACCTGAATCACAAGCACAAATTGCATAGCCATGGGCAGCAGTCATTATTGGTTTGTGAGGTCCGTTATCAAGAAATAATGACCAGTAGAACCATTTGAAATTACTTTCGAATCAATGGAGCGTTCTACTGCTACAGGGAGGAGCCGTATAATAAGGACTTATATCGGGCCTGGTGTTCAGGAAGATGAATGAATAAACACCAGAAAAATGTCTCCTTCAAAACCGTTTACTTTGCTTTGGTGTACTTGGCTGATTCATTCATGAGGGGATTCTGTTTACCCCACAGTGAGTTTTAAATGTGGGTTTGGGAAGGGAGGGAAATAATAAATAATGGCCTGTACTTTTATGTCACTTAAAGTCATATTACGGCTGTTTTATTTATGAGCCAAAACATCAATGAGAAATTAAGCAACTGGAATGTGAGACATATATCACATTCTAGCCTCTGCAGTAGAATGCTGTGGTCTATTGTGTCAAATGCAGCGCTAAGGTCCAGTAGGACCAACACTGACACTGTCCATTATCAGCAGCTAGTAGTAAGTCATTTGTGACTTTAACTAGAGCTGTTTCAGTGCTATGATGAGCTCTGAATCCTGATTGAAAGACTTCAAACATATTATTTTTTGATAGCTGTTCAGCTATAAGCTTTTCCAGGATTTTGGATATGAAAGTAAGGTTCGAGATTGGTCTGTAGCTTTTAAGTAGGTTTAAAGTTTTCTTCAGAAGGGGTTTGATTACAGTGGTTTTAAAAGCTTGTGGGACATAGCCACATTGTATGGATGCGTTTATTATATTATATTGCATATAATATATTATAAAGCATCTGCTTACCTCTCGAAAACGCCTTTACAGGATGGTCCAAAAGTTGGCTCTTGACCCACATGTGTGTCAATGCTGAGGGGAGTGAATTTTTTTGGATCAGTATAGTTTAGTCGCTGTGAAATGAATGAAATGAATGGGGCTCGTGCCGGCTGACGCATGCGCAGATGCATTTTTTCACATTTTCCAGCCCCTGCGGCCATTTTTAATCACTCCAGTACCGCCCAAGAGAACTATCAGCTCCAATATCACTGTGTAAAACCGGTCTTTTAAGGAAGACACATTCTGCAAAATCAACCTTTTTGAGTTTTGAACCATCTTAGAAGACCTGGAGTTTAGATCAAAGAGCATATGTTAGGGGTGGACTGGCCGAGTGTGACGTAAACATAGTGTATTCAAGCTGGAGCCAGTCTCCTTATATGGGCATTTGTACTGATACGGTGTCAGCTTCGTGCCATTACATGGGAAAATGTTTTGTGAAGACGGTTGCTGATGCAAGCTGGACATTCCTTTTTGAATGAAGGCCTCTGATTTGAGCCCTAACCAGACAGTGGCTCAGTTGGTAGAGCCTTGGCCTTTGCCTGAAGCCTCTGCTGAAAGATCAAGGCTCCTGTGGACTCACCACCTGCAGGAGGATCAGTGAGGCGCTGGTGCTATGTGTACAGGGTACAGCTCTGACTGCCACCCCCCGACCCAGAAATGGATTAAGGGGAAGAAAATGGATGGATGGACATACAATATCATAATATGAATACCAGGGTCATAGAGGGCACTAAACCACAGATGGAATACAAACACTTACTAAGTTAGAGGAGGTTACATTCACAGGTTACAAGCCAGATAGACTTGTCCATGACCACTTCCTTACTTGGTTTCATTGAGATAACGGATTAGCATTCATCTGTTCAGCTGGTGGACGATGGCAGCAGTGTGGAGGCCTGCAGCAGCGTCTTGTTTACTCCTCCGCTAACCTCTGCTCCTCAGCCCACTGCATATCCAGCTCCTCTTTGGCTGCCTTGCAAATTCTGCGTCTGTCTGTCTGTCCGTCCGTCCGTCCGTGTACTACTATATGTGTGTGTGGCTTGAATACGTGTGCGTTTGGGTGCTTTTGTGTTTGTGTGTTTTTCTGTGTGTGTGTGTGTGTGTAGGTATACGTCCCACGTCTGTGTGTGTGTGTGGATATAGAGCCTACTTGTTGAGTGCAAAGAGGGGCAGGGTCAAGGGTCATTCGCCATTAGTCCTCTTCAGTATTCGCAACATGGCGCCTGAACAATCGGCACCCGTGGCAGGATTCAATTTTTTTTTTTCTACAACACATACAAAAATTAAGTATTAATGCATATTTATCTTTTTCGATATTATGTACTAAAACCTTCACACATGATCTCAGGAATTTAACTTTGACATTTATAATAATGTTATTAATAAGACATTGCTTTTCTGGACACCCAAAGACACTTCACATGGCATGGTGGTGACAGACTGTACTGTATGGACAATGCTAACCTGCTAGCTCAATGCAACCCAATAGGGAAGTGCTCATGAACAAATTTGTCTCCCATTGCTCCTGCTTCTATTGACTTTGATTGAAAAGTGAACTCCTCTGGCTAAGTAACTATTTTTCAATCTGAAGAAACCAAGACAGACACATTAATGCATGAAAAAGATGTATTCCTTTGGCGCATTGACCCCAGCAGTGACACTTGCAGAATGGAGATCATCTGCTGCTGAAGATAATCTCAGATCCCCCGGGGTCAAGCACTGGTGGTGGCTAGAGCGTGGTGTGAATGGGGCACTGACAGAGCAGGAGCAGGAGCCAGGTCAGGAGCCAGAGCAGGAGCCAGGCCAAGAGCCCGAGCAGGAGCCCAAGCAGGAACCAGAGTAGAAACCAGAGCAGGAGACCGAGCAGGAGCCCGAGCCCAAGCAGGAGCTTGAGGAGGCGGTGGGTGTTGAGCTGCAGTAAGCATGTAAAGAGCCTCAGGAAGTGGCTGCTTTTAAACTGCCCGCTTTGCTGTCAGTGGGTTGGCAAGAGGCTGGCCAGGCTGCGAGATTGGCAGAGGCTTGAGGCTGGCAGAGCTGTAAAATTGGCGGAGGCTCGATAGGCTGGCAGAGCTGTGTGATTGGCTGGCCCTGGAGGGGTGAGAGCTGAGGCCGGTCTTTCAGTATTAATTTGCACTTCAGCTTCATGTGTCACACTCACCATTGTGGTTTAAATGTGCTAAGTGCACTGAAATCTGGTGTTTATATTGTGATATTGTCTTAGTAAATCCACCACCAACCCCGCCGCGGGTTGTTTTTATGTTTTTAAATGTTCTGCTGGCAATAGCAGATGTATTTTGAACACCAAACCCCAAAAGCTGTATATCATTTTAAAGCTTATTTTCTTATCTACATTTACATACAAGTGTAAACTACATCAGACTTTGCATTCAAAAGATATAACACATAATGTGGGCACAAAATAAATCAATTCGGAAATAGTTCTTTACCTTTGGGCTTGTGCTGTACAAATAAATCAGCTCTCCTCCCAGCTTGCAATACATCATTCTCTCTGGAACAGTCCAAAGGAAAATTATATCCACTTGTATTTCCCAAAGTAAAATCCATTCTGCAGAAATAATCCAAAAATGTGCATTTATCTTTAGCGAAAAAAACGAAAAAAAAGAGCACAGATGTTACTCTTTCACTTGTAACGGACTTTTAGCTTTGTTTTTCACCCGAACATCTGGTATCTACGTGTTCCTTAGCTCCTTATCTTTCAAATGAGACTACTCCCGAAAAGCTAGACCAATTTTTGGGTCTGCAATAGGTCCCGCAAATAACGCTAGCGCTGCTGTTTGCGCATTGGTGGCTAATCTTTTGTGGGGTCCCAACTTGTTTACGTTTACTTCCGGGATTTACGATTGACATGTCCTTGTAGCCAATGAGGAAAGCTTTCGAACAAGGGGTGGGACAATGGTGTCCTGTCTTATCTTGGGCCTGGACCATTGTGCGTCATGGCAGCCAAAAGACGCTCCCGAAGCTGCAATGAATTTACACTCATAAAAAAATAACTTTGACATTTAAAAAAGAAAAACACACATAGATTAGTAACTTATAAGTACCAATAATAAAAAATATTGTTTTTATGATGATTAAATGTAAGTAAAGATATTTACTTAAAAATGTGCACTACTTGATGAAAAGGAGAAACTGCATAAGGAGAAACTGCATAAAAACTATAAAACTTAGAAGTCTGAAACTTTAGACAGTTGTTGTCAACAACACAATGAACAGAGGGTCTGAATATTGTGAACTTACAATGAAGTATGCCTTTTTTAGGGCCTTTAGACATTGAAAATGTTAGGCGAGGCTAAAAAAATTGGGGTTTTTTCCCTAACTTCAAAGGATGCAGAGGAAAATAGGAATGACAAACATTATTTTAGTGTTTTTTTACATAAACTAGAAGGCTCTAGCTTTAAAATGATGCATCACACAAGCATGTGAGATGTAAGATGTGTTTTTAAATAAGCAAAGACATTTGGGTATGCCCAACCATTGTGCACGAGCCAAAATGAGGCGGTTGTTAAGAGGTTAAGCCATATAAGGATTGACTAATCACGTGTCTTCATTTGTGGGGGATACTCACAAATGAAAACAGTTGGAACAAACTGTTTAAGCTTAAGCGGAGGTTCAGGATGGTAGACTACCTCCGTTATCACACCAAGCTAGACCACACCTTTCTCATGTCATAATCAACTCATCAACTCCCTCCCAGCCGTGTCAATCAAGCCAGCGTTTAATAGCAAAGCAGAGTACAGCTCATCTCTGTACTTTCATGCTGCAACCACCTCCTCCCCACCTCCGCCTCAGGATTTCTTCGCTCTCACTTTCACCTTGCCTTGTTGCCACCACCAGTGTCTAGGCCCCGGGGGATCATGATCTGCACCTAGGCGCAGATCTCTTCAGAGCACGGCCACTGCCGGGGCCTAAGCACCAATAAACAAACTCAATCCATAAAATCTCAAACGCATAAAGAACTCTTTAACGCATCTTGTCTCTTGTAGTCTCTCCAGGTTCAAAAGCCCACATTAAGATTTGACTCCAGTTATCATATGTTGAAATCAGGCCCGTCCACATTAAGGTCAACAGTTTGGTGACCTCTGCAGTATATGGTAGGGATCATCTACTACTGTAGCCGCAACACACAGAGACATCTGTACCATTGGCTTCTTCAACCACCAATTTCACACACACCATACCTCATCTGTTTGTCAAGACAAGTACTGTAAAAGATGGTCACATGAATTCCCCAAAGAGTGCACACACACACACTGCGGGCTCACTTGAAGTGTTTGGCTTGTTGCTCTGTGGAAAGCTGACTTAGTCCAGGGCCACGGCCAGTCCAGAACCCCGGCCATTCCAGAACCAGGACCTTGAGAACAGTTGTTTTACCTGCCTTTGAAAGTGGGAGCTATGTGACCAAACATTTTAAAATGACTGCTTGTAGTTAATGTTGTAATAATACTTTCATTACAACTTTTATTGGCCCCCATAATCAGGTTTCAAGTCACCAAGTTTTTTTTTCATAATAAATATATTTAAAACAGCCACTCCCCTTGGAGTGATAACCACCAGTAAGATGGACTGGATATTTAGACCAACTGGGGAGGGGGCTCAGCCTTTTAAGCAGCTCTACTTGTTTAAAGTCTCTTCTTGGCCTCTCACCAAAATACATCTGTGACATGTTAATGCCATCTCAGACTCTGGGGAGCACAGGGACTGACCTCTTGCTGGAGCCTTGTGTCAGGACCAAACATGTGGAGTCAGCATTTCAAATTAATAATAATGATTTATTTATAATACAAATCTGGAACAGTCTTCCTGAGAATATGAGACAGGAGTCTACTCTAACAATGGTCAAATCCAGAACTGTGCATACAACTGAAGGATTGTATCTTCTCTCTTGTTAATGGATTGTGATTATAAGTTGTAAATGTAATGTCTTGTTTAATTTTGTTAAGCACTTTGAGTTGCCTTGTGTATGAACTCTACAAATTGCCTTGCCTTGTCTATCAAGGATTTGGATGAATAAGGTCAAAATGTGCTTGCATCGGATTTTCACAATTTGAAAAGTAACTGATTCTCTGTTTAAACATATGTAAATAAAATATCAAAAAAACAAAAGAGTTTGTGTTTCTCCTGTTCCAGACAGCACAGCTGGCCTGGTTTCCCGTCGGAGGGAGGGCTTCTCTGGCCAGAGGGACAGCTCCTTCAGCCTGGTGCTTGTAGTGTCAGACGGAGGTGAGCCTCCTCTCAGCAGCACCGCCACACTGCACATCCGCGTGTGTGCTTGTGAGAGGAACAGGGGGCGCTATGGAGCTAATGTGTGCCAGGCCCAGGCCTTCCTCTCCTCAGCTGGCATCAGCACTGGGGCTTTTGTGGCCATCCTGCTCTGCACACTCATACTACTCGGTAAGTGACCACCACATGAACACATGGAATTTTATGAGTCTAAATGAGGGAAAGCACACAAACAAATGTTTTGTGAAGTTGATGCAACACCCGTTTTGGTCTAAATGCATACAGTGTAGAACCATGGCATCATTACTATGGTCTTAGAAGGTGGCTTTTTGAGAGATACCTTACAGAATTCTGAAGTGGTCAAGCTTAAAATCAGTTTAATTGAATAACCAACAAAACAAGTCCTGTGCAACTAATGCCTGTTCTCCTCGATCTTTCTCCATCAGCCACAGTAATGCTCTTCACCCAACTTCACCTGAAGAAAACCAGCAAAGACAAACTCATCCTTTCAGAGGAGGACATCCGCGAGAACGTGGTGACCTACGACGACGAGGGCGGTGGCGAGGAGGACACCGAGGCCTTTGACATCACCGCGCTTCGTAACCCCAAAGTGTCAGAACGGTACCCCAAACTCCAGAGCTACTATGACCGCAGCACTTACAAGGACACAGAGACGGACAGCGAGGAAGAAATTGTGATTGTTCAGCGGAAACGGGACTATTTCGGGGCTTACAGTCCAGAATCGGCGCCTTCGTGGTTCGCCTCGGGTTGCGTGCAGAGAGATGTCTCACGGTCAGAGCCCTCTCTTCTGCTGGATGGTCATGATGTCGTCCGGCAAGTTCTTCAACGTAAAGTATCCCAAGCCAACCGTGAAACCAGAGGACCTCCGTACGATTCTCTCCAAACATACGCCTACGAAGGGAGAGGGTCGCTGGCAGGTTCAGTCAGTTCGCTCGGTCTGACACAGGATTCATTCCCGGAACTAAGTTGCACTGATTTAGAAGAGTGGGGGCCAAATCAGCTCATTCTAGGACTCATCATTGGAGACCAAGATTCAACAGACTCCTAAGAAAGTGGAGTCTATGGGTGACTTTGCAGTAAATTTAATCCTGGATTTGTTTTTTCAAGTGGTTGAAATCTTCTTTCTGCACTATTGTCACAATATAGTTTGGCATGTCTTATGTCGGAAGGTAGCCAAAGCTGACCGCAAAACCTGAGGACCTCTGTACAATTGGTCACAAGTGGGTTTAGCCAGTTTGCTAGGTCTGATGCAGGATTCTTCATTCCTTGGACTTAGTGGCACTGATTTAGAGAACTGGGAGGCAGTTAGTCCCCAGGAGTAATTATTCCAGGACCAGGACTCCTAAGAAAGTGGACTTTACATGTGTATACAGTACAGACCAAAAGTTTGGACACACCTTCTCATTCAAAGAGTTTTTAATTTTCCTGATTATGAAAATTGTAGATTATGTACTTAGTATGTACATAGAAATTATGTACATACAAAAAAAAATGAAAATATGTCTTATATTCTAGGTTCTTCAAAATAGGACCTTTTGCTCTGATTACTGCTTCGCACGTTCTTGGCATTCTCTTAATGAGCTTCAAGAGGAGAAGAAATGGTCTGAGTTCCCACAGATGCTTAGCACTTGTTGGCCCTTTCGCCATCACTCTGTGGTCCAGCCCCAAAACCATCTGGATTGGGTTCAGGTCCAAAACCATCTTGATTAGGTTCAGGTCCAGTGACTGGAGGCCGGGTCGTCGGGCCCAGCACCCCACCACTCTCCTTATTGGACAAATAGCCCTTACACAGCCTTTGAGTGAATCCACAGTCAATAGTCATAAAAGAAAGGACACTCATTGAATGAGAAAGTGTGTTCAAACTATTGGTCTGTTCTGTATGTGTGTGGATCTATTGATGACTTTGTAGTAGTTTGATTCCTGGAATCAAAGGTTAAAGAAAAGGGGTTTAAATGGCTTTAGGTCTGCTGCTGGATGGTTGCGATATAAATCAGCAATTACTTTGTCGTACAGTAACCTTAAACTGAGGGCCTCTGTACGATTGGCTCCGCAAGCTTATGGGACATAAGCTTGTTAGGTAAGTAAGTTAGTAGTAGGTTTTTATTTATATACCGCCTTTTCACTGCAGATCTGAGTCTCAAAGCGGTTTACAATTGTTACAATTTTGGGCATTTGTCTCTCACTCCACACAGAGATGGGAGCGGGGTCGCCAGTACAGGAAGCGCATGCCAGAACTATTGGACATATTTTTAGTGGTAGGGGAAACCGGAGTACCCGGAGGAAACCTACGCAGACACGGGGAGAACATGCAAACTCCACTCAGAAAGGCCCTGGTCCGACCGGGATTCGAACCCAGGACCTTCTAGGTCCGACACCTGAACTGGCAAGATCTAGAACAGGTTATCAGTGAGAACCATTCAACAGACTCCTAAAAGTGAACAATATTTGTATGCTGTATGTTTTCAAAAGGTTTGCAGCAAATTGCAAAAGGGAGAGTGGGGTTCTTTGGATGACATTACTGTGAGTTGTTTTTGGCAAGAGTTAAAATTGCTTTTAAAACTTTGACGACATGAGCTGAAATGGCTTTAGTTCAGAACAACCATGTTGTTTGCAGTAGTTCTGTCCACTTGTCGTGTGACATTCAAAGGTTGTTAAACCATATCAATACTAGCCCAGTCAGAATGTTTGACAAGATATAATCCAAACTACTGAAAACAAGATCATTATTGTGGATTATGTCAATCTGTTTCCCTTTTGTTTTTCGGTAAATGTGATTCAGAACCCACGAAAAGCCATTTTTCTGTTTTGGAATAAAGCATTATTTTGTAAAGATTATCATTTACCTTCTAAAGTTACAGCAAACATCTTCAGGATGGATTTTTTTTTTTTTTTTTTATTTATTTTTTATGAAAGCCATAATTCACTTTTAAAACGTTTGAGAGGATGTCACTTAATAACTCGCCAAACTGAAACGATTCTGTGCTGACGACGTTAAAGAGTCCAAATGCTGTTTTTACGTCTTAAAGTGAAGGTCAGTTATTATTCTCATTGTGAAGATGGAAAGACGTTTTTCAAATACACTCCCAGATAGACAGCTGAGGCCTCTCCCCATTAGTCTAACTATTGCCAACTTTATGCGATCTTAGAAACTCTGGCTGAAATTTGGGCTGGGTCAGTAGTCACTGTGTAGAGAATAGACTTCAAAATGAACATATTTAATCCCAAAAAGAAAACAATTAACGCCAAAATTGAATTTGTGATTGATGGTACAAAGGTTTTGCTGAAATATCTTTGATTGTATCTGTACCAACACTTTTATTTTATGTGGTCCTGTATTTCTGGTGAGTCTTATTCCAAGGGGAGGGACTGTTTCAAATATAATAATTATGGGAAATACTTTAAATAAATGATACTACAAGGTATATAAAAATATTAATAATGAAAAATTAAACACAGTAGAAAGTGGGAGACAGGTCCGTGTACTTTTGCGTTCAATACATTTTCTATTTTTGAAGGGAAATGGAAAAATTGAAAATAGGCTATTTTGCATTTTGCATCAACTAAAAATACCATTTTGGTTTTTTCATTACTTATAAGATAAGATAAGAATTCCTTTATTCGTCCCACAGTGGGGAAATTTTGATGTTGCATCGCACATATAGGACAGTAGTAAGCGCACACAGGGAGCACACACAATATATACAAATAAGTAGTAGCTATGTTTCTTAGCTAACATAACTAGCTGTAGATGCTGAAAATCCTTCAATACCAGTCAAAAGATATATATGTAGTAGTGCAGTTATATACTGTACAGTTAAATAGTGCAGGATAAAAAGTATATAAGTAAAGTGACATGAGGTAAAGTGACATTGTTCTGTGACATCCTGAAGTTGCAGTATTGCACATTGCACATGATTGAAGAATTTACTTAGTTACAGATGAATGAAATTTCAAGGCTCAGCAGTTCTTATTGTACAGTCTGACAGCAGCAGGAAGGAAAGACCTACGGAACCTCTCCTTCACATAGCGAGAGTGAATTAGTCTGTCACTGAAACTGCTCTCCAGAGCAGAGAGAGTGTCCTGCAGGGGGTGACAGTCATGGTCCAGCATAGATGTTAGTTTTCTCAGGACCCTCCTGTCCCCCACCTGCTGCACTGTGTCCAGGGAACAGCCCAGGACTGAGCTGGACTTCCTGATGACCTTGCGCAAAGGAAGTTGAGGTGGAATATACGCACAGCTAAAAACATCTACAGGAGGAAGATGGAGGAGCAACTGGCTCGGCAGGACGTGCGGGGGGTGTGGAGAGGCCTCAAATCCATGTCAGGCTTCAAAACACCCCCCAGTCAGTCCACAGGAGACCAGCTGTGGGTAAACGAGCTAAACACATTCTTCGCTCGCTTTGACCAGCCTTCCCCTCCCCCTGCGCAGACGCTCTCCTTCACTCCGGCAGCGGACCAAAGGGCAACACCTACGATCGTTCACACCTCTGTCATGGCACCACAGTCTTCCTCCCACGGCCCCCCCAGCCCTCCTAGAGACACTCCCCCCCCCACCACAGAGCCCCCGTCCTCCCTACTCAGCACCCACTCCACCCAGCCCCCCTGCACCCCCCTGTCATTCACCGCTGCTCAGGTGAGGACAGGGATGAGGAGGATAAAGACCAGAAAGGCACCAGGACCAGATAACATCAGCTCCAGGCTCCTTCGCTCCTGTGCAGACGAACTCTGTGGAGTGATGGAGCGTGTCTTCAACCTGAGCCTCAAGCTGAGGGCGGTACCACAGCTCTGGAAGACCTCCTGTGTGGTACCGGTGCCCAAGAAACCACGGGCCAAAGACCTCAGCGACTTCAGGCCAGTGGCTCTAACATCCCACTGCATGAAGACACTGGAGAGACTGGTCCTGGGACATCTCCGCTCCACTCTGAGCCCAGCGATGGACCCGCTGCAGTTCGCCTACAGGCCGGGCATCGGAGTCGAGGACGCCATCATCTCCCTCCTCCATCGCTCCCTGTCCCACCTGGAGAAACCCGGCTCCACTGTGAGGATCCTCTTCTTTGATTTCTCCAGTGCCTTCAACACCATCCAGCCGCGGCTTCTCAGGGACAAGATGGAGACAGCTGGTGTGGACTACGATCTGTCCCAGTGGATCCTGGACTACCTCACAGACAGACCCCAGTTTGTGAGAACCAAGGACTGCGTGTCTGAGGTCCTGACCTGCAGTGTGGGGCCCCCCAGGGAACTGTCCTCGTGCCGTTCCTCTTCACCCTCTACACTGCGGACTTCAGACACAACACGGACGGTTGTGTCCTCCAGAAGTTCTCCGACGACTCTGCCATCATCGGACTCAGCTCCGAGGACGATGACACAGAGTACAGAGGAGTTATACAGAACTTTGTGGACTGGTGTCAGCGGAACCACCTCCTCATCAACGCGGGGAAGACCAACGAGATGGTGGTGGATTTCCGCAGACGTCACTCTGCAGCTCCAGCTCCAGTGAACATCCAGGGAAAGGACATCGAGAGAGTGGACTCTTACAAGTACCTGGGTGTTCATCTGAACCACAAACTGGACTGGACTCATAACACAGACGCCCTCTTCAAGAAGGGCCAGAGCCACCTCTACCTGCTGAGGACGCTTAGGTCTTTTGGCGTGCAGGGGCCACTCCTTCTATGACTCTGTGGTGGCATCAGCCATCTTGTACGGTGTGGTCTGCTGGAACAGCAGCATCACAGAAAGGGACAGGAAGAAACTGGACAAGGTCATCAGGAAGTCCAGCTCAGTCCTGGGCTGTTCCCTGGACACAGTGCAGCAGGTGGGGGACAGGAGGGTCCTGAGCAAACTAACATCTATGCTGGACCATGACTGTCACCCCCTGCAGGACACTCTCTCTGCTCTGGAGAGCAGTTTCAGTGACAGACTAATTCACCCTCGCTGTGTGAAGTAAGTAAGTAAGTAAGTAAGTAATCTTTATTTATATACCGCCTTTCACAGACCAAGTGAAGGAGAGGTTCCGTAGGTATTTCCTTCCTGCTGCTGTCAGACTGTACAA